TCATATCATATGGACTGCCACCTGATCTCAAGAGCAGTCCTCACATCAGGAGGAAGAGATAGGTGCAAGTACCCCTATGGGCCCCCAAAGTAGTCTCTCCTGGAAGAAAGGAGCTCGGGGATCAGTAGGGTCTGATCAGTCTCAGACCTGGCCTAGGATGCCTCCAGCCAATCACAGCTGCAGGAAGTTTGCCTTCCTTTCTTGGCCTCTGAAAAGGATGACTCAAGACCTTCTCCAGAGCAAGCTTTGCCGCAGGACTGTCCTGTATGTTTGCAGATATAGACGAGTGTGAGCAGCCAGAGGTGTGCAGTGGGGGGCGATGCAGCAACACAGAGGGCTCATACCACTGTGAGTGTGATCCAGGCTACATCATGGTCGGGAAGGGACTCTGCCGAGGTAAGGAGTCAACCTGCCACCCCACACACTGTCCATCACCAAATCCCCTTCTAGCTTGTCCACCGATGAGTTCCTTGATGATGAGCCCACTCCTAAGCACAGAGACATGTCTCTGAATTCCTGAGATCTATTGTCCCCTTGGTAATATTTTGGCATCCTGTCTGTCTCCTGCATCAGGGAAGCACAAATCTACAGAATACCCCAGGAATATCTCCTTTGCACACCTTTGATCCCTCACCTTGAAAAATGGGCTCTTTTTATGTGGCAGAGGAAGAGTCAGTCTGTCTGGGAGACTAAACCTTCTTGCTAAAGCATCTGAGACCATGAGCTTCTGAAGGCTGGACCATACAGCCTTCATACAGGACAGTGCTTAGATGACCCATGGCACTCAACAAATGCTAGTTGATGAACGAATGAGTGAATGAATGATGGAAGAGATCCAAGATCCTTCTTTCCTTTCCTAGACACAAACTCAAAAGATCTCTGGGACATTGCCAACTGGTCTCTCCTCACAAAAGCCTGCTACTATCAAATCAGCTCTGAAAACTTCCTAGCAGCTGTGTCACCACCATCTTCCTGCCAGGCCGGCATATTAAATGCTTGCAGAAGGACTAGATCATGTGCCCTCAAGAATGGCTGTGAGGCAGGAATAAATGGGAATAAATCAAGACTCTACCTGGGAAAACACTGCCCTGGGTCCAAGCTTAGGCTTAGACTCCCTAACAGCCTCTAGGTTTCCCTGGCCAGAACTTGCCTCGTCCAAAGAGTCCTAGAAGTAAGGGGTATACTTGTGTTCCTTGTGAAGGAAGCCAGATCCAGAGTCCTAGGAGATCTTAGCCAAGGGGAGAGGTGGCTGCAGATGCAGGGCAGACAACTCTCTTTACCCCCAGTGTGTCACCTCCTCTCAATACCTTCCTCATGATGCTCCCCAACCCCCGCCCCTTAGAGCTCAGGCCTAAGCATGATTAAAGCTGGAAGCCACTTCCAGCTAATTATGAGCTAATTATCCTCATTAGGCTGATAGTGACAAGACAACATGGCATTCTCCAGGAGAATGTGGAGTGAAGGCACCCACTACTGGCCAGCTGGCCGTGGTTAAGTACTAGATAGATAAGCTCATTTAAGAATCACTGCAATATTATGAATTTGACATTATGGTTTATTAAAAAAGAAAAGCAAAAAAGGGGGAAGGGGCAGTAGAAATGAGCAAAGAAAATACCAGAGCATGTGAAATATCAGATTTATACTAACCAGCCCATGTTAAGGGCATGGGCTCTGGTGCAGACAGGCCTGGGTTTGGCTCTTGTCTCATGTCTGGAAATGGAAACCATCATGCCCATCTCAGAGGCTCTAGTGAGGACTGGATAAGCAACACATGCAAGGTGCTCAGCACCGCCTCTGGTACAAAGAAACATCACTGTCAGAGTCATCTTACCCTTTTTCATGTCCAGACTCCCCCTCACCCAGTGTCTTCCCCTGGATCTTCTCCATCCCATCCAGAGGGTAGGTTCTAGACACTCACCTCATCTGGGAGGTCAGGCCGAGTTCCTGGCCCTGAGCAGACACTCCAGGACTGTTGAAAGAAAGAATGATGTAGTCTGCACACTTCTCCAGGTTTCCATCAGTAACCACAGACCCGGCCCATCACCCCGGGAGCCCAGTCAATTTCCTCTCCCTCTTTCTTCTCTCTCCAATGAAGAAACCACTCTCTTCACTGAAACCCAGAGTCTCTGGTGAGAGGCTGAGTGGTCTGGACGGTGGCCCATGCAATAGTCTCAATGGCATTTCCGTCAAACCAGGACTCCCTGTTCTCATGAACAGGGAATAGATTCTCCTGTACACTGCCAGGGTCTTTGTTGTTCCCCACCCACATCCAAGGTGTCCTGAGCTCTGGCTCCTACATGAGCTTCCTTCCCACCCCCATCCCAAGCTCTCACAAGGAACATCTCTTCATGCAGAGGCTGACCCCTGAAAGAGAAGCTTGGCAGGGGGGGCAGAGGGGCTCCTAGTATACAGACAGTAGACTGGCAAGCTGGCAACCTACTCCCTGGTGAGACTGTTGCCATGAAGATATTGGGGTTCTTTTCAGCAACCTTATACAAATAGGACGATGGGTGAAGTTTTAGGCACATTGTCCCATTCTTTGGTCAGCAGATATTGGTTGAGTGCCAGCTGTGTACCAACCATGAGCTGGGAATACAGCAATAAACAAATAGTTCCTGCCATCAACTGGAGTATTGAGACTTACCAAAACATACCATAAACTTACCAAATTTCAAACCCTCAACTAGGCAGAAAAATCTCCACCCAGTCCTGACTTCAGTCCAGGTACCACAAGGTTGGTGGAACATCTTCAGGATATGTGGTGATGGAATCCACTCTGGCTCCTTTGATTGGCTTGGCTAGTGACTCAGTTAGATGCAGTCCCATTAAAGAGAGTCCTTTCCTGTCTCAGGTGGAGACTGAGGGACTGCTCTGACCTTCTGTTCTCTCTCTCCCACTTGTTGACAGGCCTGTCACATATGATCATTGCTGCCTGGGGGAGAAGGGGGTCTAAGAAAGAAGCCAGCAGTGGTGTGCCAGAATAGACTGGATTACGCTGCATTAACAAACAGCCTCAATCTTAGTGACAGAGAACACAGCCAAGATTCTATCTCATCAATGCTAGCTGGCCCATGGTGGGTCAGCTGAGGGTTCTGCCCTCCTGTTTCCTTACTCTAGAACTACGATAAAGGAATAGCCAGTCTCTGGAGTATGGCTAGTCTCCATGGAAGAAATTAAGAGCACTCTAGAGGGTTGCACATAAGAAAATGCTTTGGTCCTTAAATTGCACACATCATATCTACTCACAGCTCATTGGCCAGCACAAATCTTATAGTTCTACCCATCCTCAAGGAACAAATTGGCACAAGCCTGCTATGGCCCAGAAATGGAGACCCGGAATATTTTGTGGATAGCATTAGTACTACGTCTCCTACATGTCCAGTTTGGGTGCTATACACTTCACCTCTAGCAGATGTGCTTGGCATGTTAGGGGTAGGAAACACCATGGCGCCCTTTCTTCTTGGCAAACTATCTATCTGCATAGCCTGATCCCTGCAAGAGAGGTCCAAAGATTTCCTTTTTAACTCAGAATGGACTTAGGAGGATCCTTCCTTCAATTTCTTTCTTTTTCATTCCCAAAGTCTTGCATCCCTAAAGCAAGACTTTAGGGATAAGGGATCACTTCTCATTCCCAATGGTTTTTCCCATCCTCCTTCAGGTGCCTCAACCAGGACCAGCAGGCCATTGTGCTGATGCTGTCTCCTGGATGGCTAGAGTTGGTGGTCCTGGATCCTTCATTCTCTCCATCTTTATAGAGACCTTTAGAATAATTTAGCTTGGTGTCACCACACCCAACTAGTAGCTCATGGTTGCTCTCTTTCCAGATGTGAGTCTTATTTCAATGTCTCCAAGGTTGTGTAGAAATTGTGAGCATCTTTGCAAATACCAATTCTGAATAACCACCGCTCTGTGGATATGTTTCCTTCTGGAGCCTCACGGTCAAGCTTTGGCCTGACAGGTCCCAGTTCCCTGGGATAGAAGACTTTGATGTGTCCTGACTTCTGTAGACCAAACAACTTCAGGGAGGAATCATTTTCACCCTTCATCTCATGTCCATGTCCTGCTCCACAGTGCCAACTGTTGGCACAGAAAGCCTGTGTTCTTTCACTTGGTCTGTCTCCTGCTTTTCCTCTATAGGTGCTGAGTAGGTCTTCCTTCTGCTCACTAGGGCCTCTAAATCTGCATAAACTGGGTGGACTTCCTCCAGGAGAACGACAATTACCCATTTAGGAAGAAAAATCCTCCTGTTTCCTTTGGAGCTTGGCCAATCTTTCACAAATGGTGAAGGGGAGCCTTGACATTGGACCAAAGGAGCATAGTGTTCTCCTGTGGTTCTGACCCAGAGTTTAGTCCCTCTAGTATGACCTCCCTACCTCAATCCAAGTCCCCTGGCTACCTTGGATGATTGGTTCCTTAATATTCCAGGTAGCTGGAGAAAATCCCAGCACTCAGTTCCTGGGGGAAATTCTCCCTCCTTCTCCTTGCTGTCATTCACCTTCCTGGGTCTGCTCTTCCCCTGCCTGTCTGGCTGGTATCCAGGCTTGTCCTTACTGTCTGACATCCTTGGATCTCAGCAGAGTGGGTCCTGAGACCCCTATGCCTCTTGGCTGGAAGAAAGGTCTGATGCCACTCTGGAAGAGAGGGCTTGCCAGCCTCAACACTTCCATCTGTACTCAGCCTCAAGGCTAGTTTGAGCCATATCCAGAATTGGGTGCTCAGCCTGGGTCATCATTTTCTGGGCCAGAGAAGTTCATTTTGCTCTCTTTGCCCCTTGGTAATCTACTCTGCAGCCTATGGCAATAGTCCAACTGGTTGTTGTGCCAAGCACATCCAATCCAGTAATGGCTACCACTTGTAAAGGGTTAAAGTTCAGCAGGGTGATATGAAGGCCCAGCCTGAACAGTCCAGGCCACAAAATAGAGCTCTGACCTCCCACAGCTAACAGTAACCACAGCCTACTGCACCCATCCGGGGAGTCTCTCATCCTCATTTTTAAGTTCTTCCATCTCTGTTTTGTCCAGGACAGTGAGTGGGAGGTGGAGTTGGGAACACAGGGAGACTCTCATTTTTTCCTAGTTTTCATCTATATAAGAGTTGATATTCCTCTCCCCAATCCCTCCCCGCCGACACACACACATAAGGGCAGAATCACCCATAGTTGTGGTTCTCAGAGATGACAAAGGGAGGGGCTGTTGTTTTACAGATATCAACGAATGTCGTCACCCTGGCACCTGTCCTGATGGGAGATGCGTCAACTCCCCTGGTTCCTACACTTGTCTGGCCTGTGAGGAGGGCTACAGGGGCCAAAGTGGAAGCTGTGTAGGTGAGGGCTGCATGACAAGGCACTGAGAGGGTCATTCAGCCTTGGAATTGCTGGTTGAACCCACACACAGGGAGGAAAAGAGGTGGGCAGAGAGAAGTGGCTTAGAGGCTATTGTCCTCCATGATCTACTGAGTTCCCAGATGACACTGAGTATGGCATGGGTGTGCTTCAGTCACGGGGCTCTGCCCTCTGAATCAGCTAGGGTGGGAGCCTCCTCTGTTCCCTGGCCACATCCGTTCTGGAGCTACAGCCCAAGGCCTCAGAAGTTTCTGTAACTAGCTCTTGTGGGGTGGGGTGAGGAGCCTCAGGGTCTTAGGCAGAGGCTGAGTGGTGGTGAGAGCTGGCAGCCAGGCCCTCTACTCTTCTGCATGACAGCACTGTCTAAACAGTGCCACTTACTGCACAGTGGCTATGCTTCTTACTCCAGAGAGGGCTACATGTCAGCTGAAGAGGAGTGTTCTTTCCCTTTAGCCCCCGTAGGAAGAAGGGCCCAGGATTCAGATGCCAGGAGGAACTGTGTTTTGAATAGATGCTTTGAGGCTCTGAAGAGGGCAGATGGTTCCCAGGCCCTTGAGACTGCCCACAGCCACCCACACATGCATGGCTGTCCTCTCTCCACACTGTGTGCCCATCTATTGAAGCTGGTTTTTGGGCTAGGAACATGAATTGTTTGGTGGCAGGTAGGAGACTAGAGATTCAGACCCACAATGGGGAAAGTCAAGGGTCTTAGATACCTTGTTCCAAGTGTCCTCAAATGGACTAAATCAGCCCTAAAGCTGGAGGACCTGGCCTCTTTTTCTGGGACCTATGCAGTTACTATATGGGGCTGAGGGGAGTTCCTGGAGGAGAAAAGGAGGTCATTGCCCTGCCTGGGTGGAATTAAGGAATATGGCTTCATGGCCTCCCCAGGGGTATCCTACAGCCAGTCTGAAGATCGATTCCCTGGTGTCATATTGAGATACTTTAAGCCTGCCAAAAGGGGCTGCATGAGTGAGTAGCTCACATCTGTAGTCCTAGCTGCTTGGAGATGGAGATCAGGAAAATGGATGTTTGAGGCCAGCCTGAGCAAAGCATTCATGAGATCCCATCTCAACCAAACATAGCTAGGTGTGGTAGCATGTGCCTGTCATCCCAACTGGAAGTGGAAATAAGACCTTGGTCCAGGTCAGCCCTGGCATAAATGTGAGACTATCTCAAAAATAACTAAAGCCAAAAAAAAAAAGTGGGGGGGTTGATGGGGGCCATGGCTCCAGTGGTAGGATGCCTCCCCAGCAAGCACAGAGCCCTGCGTTCAAACCCTAGTGCCATCTTTTAAAAAAAAAGTTGCTGCATGAAGGAGTCCAGTGTGCCATATTGGACTTCTCTCCATAGACGTGAATGAGTGTCTCACCCCCGGAGTCTGTGCCCATGGGAGGTGCATCAACCTGGAAGGCTCCTTTAGATGCTCCTGTGAGCAGGGTTATGAGGTCACGTCAGACAAGAAGGGCTGCCAAGGTACAAAGATGTCAAAGCACCCTGCCTCTACAGGCCAGCCTGCAGCACCTTCCCCTTTGCATGTGCCTTCCGTCCAACCCTGATTGCAAATCCCTACCCATCCTGACCCGGCACATCCCTGCCAAGACCTGTCTTTTCCCCTCTCCCTGCCCACCTGTCAGTCTCTGGCTGTCCTGGCATATCTGCCCAGCAGCTCAATGGCCTATTCCAGATGTGGATGAATGTGCCAGCCGGGCCTCGTGCCCCACAGGTCTCTGCCTCAACACTGAAGGCTCCTTCACCTGCTCAGCCTGTGAGAGCGGATACTGGGTGAATGAAGACGGCACTGCCTGTGAAGGTAACCCTGGGGAGGCAGTGGAAGGGGGTGCTCCCAGAGAACACTGATGTGCCTCCAGCCTTGAGCTTCTCCTGAGGTGCTGCAGATTAGGGTCTAGGGCCCTGTTAAGGGACTTGGCCCCATGGAGAACTTCTATTGTCATAATCCCCAAGATCAGATGTAAGAACAGAAAGAACAGGAGGTCACAGAGTTAGGAAGGAAGCTGGGGGTAGAGCAACCCACAGAGCTTTCCAGGAAGGAGATGTGTGTATAAAAGACCTGCTGCCAGGGCTTGCCTTTCCCTAGGTGCCCAGAGAGGGGCCAGTTCTCACTGTGTGGGACAGCCCTCCCGAGTCCTTGGCCATGACTCTCTGTCTTCCCAGACCTGGATGAGTGTGCATTTCCTGGAGTCTGCCCCACAGGAGTCTGCACCAACACCGTGGGCTCCTTTTCCTGTAAGGATTGTGATGAGGGCTACCAGCCCAGTCCCCTGGGCCACACCTGTGAAGGTAAGGGCCTTCAGTGGAGAGAGCACAAATGGGATGCAGGCAAATAACCCACTACTCACAAGAAGGAAGGAACAAGGGTCCCGCTGTCTACCTAGGATGGTGAGCTGGCTGGGGATACCTAGTCCCACCCCTTCCCAAACAGGAATCAGAAAGGCAACTGAGACCTGTGGGTGGGGGGAGCAGGGGATGAGTTCACAGGCTGCAGTGTGCGTCAGCAGTACAGAGGGGCACTGTTCAACATGCAGCTTCCTAGGCATTGTTCTAGACTCACTCTGGACTTGGGAGGGACCTCAGAATCTGTTCTGATGAGCTACTGGAGTGTGCTTTGCAAGGGTGGCACTGAAATATCAGAGATATCACTGGCCTATACTAGGGCCTCTGTAAGCCAACTTTAACACACGAGTTGCAGCCGGGTATGGGGGTGCATGCCTATAATTCCAGCACTCAGTAGGCTGAGGCAGGAAGTTCACGAGTTTGAGGCAGGCCTGGGCTACACAGAGAGACCCTGTCTAAAAACAAACAGAAAGAACAGAGTTTCTGTTACTTTCTAAGGTTACTGCTTCTGTTTCCTTGGTTTCTTTCCCATTTGCTTTCCCAATGTTCCTCGGTGAAATCTGAGCCCTTCCAGCCAAGACAGGGGCAGAGGACTTTGGTTCCCCTGGACAGAGCTATTAGAGGAGCCCACTCACAGCAGGGCCACCTGGAAGGTGCTGGCATCCTGCTCCCTAGGGCTCCCTTGCCAGCTTCTCCAAGCTGTGCTGCTCAATGAGGGGCAGAATGCCCATGGGTTTAATCTCCACAGGCAGATCTCCATTGGAGATCTCTCCCTTGGTCCTGTCCTTGGGAAGTGTCACCATCAGCTGCTTTCCTCCCTGTGGCCCTGCAGATGTGGACGAGTGTGAAGACCCCCAGAGTAGCTGCCTGGGAGGTGAATGCAAGAACACAGTTGGCTCCTACCAGTGCCTCTGTCCCCCTGGCTTCCATCTGGCCAATAGCACTATGTGTGAGGGTGAGTGGCCTAGTTCTCCCCACTGGTCTGGGGACAGTGAGTATATGAGAAGTTGGGGACACCCAGGAGATGCTACCTGCCCATCTTGTCTCTACAGATGTGGATGAGTGTGTGGGGGAGGAGCACTGTGCACCCCACGGGGAGTGTCTCAACAGCCACGGGTCCTTCTTCTGTCTTTGTGCACCTGGCTTTGCCAGTGCAGAGCAGGGGACCAGCTGCCAGGGTGAGAAACTAGTGTGGCCATGTCTGGGGACCAGCAGCAGGGATCCTAGAGGCTGTGTCTACAGTAGACTCCATTTGAATACCAGTGCTGAAATAAAATGATATATTCATGGTACCCTGGAGATGAGAAGATGGGAGGGTAGGAGCAAAGCAAGGGAGCCAGGCATGCAGGGAGGGACTCAGAGCCTTTCAGCAGGGACTCTCCATGATTTGCTGTCAGGCACATACCCTCTCCAAAGCTTTTCAGCATCACCCTTCTCCCCCTGACAGAGCCCCAGCTCCAAGGTCCTCCCCACAGCATAGACTCTGGCTTCTAGCTAGATTCCCTCAGGTCTCCCATGCCTACCCTGAGCCCCTCCCTGCCTCCCTGCCTCCTAGGGGCTACCAGTGGCCCACAGGCAGCAGCACAGGGCTCTTACAGGGAAGGGACCTTTGGCTGGATCTACTGACAGGCGTCTTTCTCCTAGATGTGGATGAGTGTGTAGCCACAGATCTGTGTCTGGGAGGGCACTGTGTGAACACCGAGGGCTCTTTCAACTGTCTGTGTGAGACTGGCTTCCAGCCCTCCCCAGAGAGTGGGGAGTGTGTAGGTAAGGGCTCTGGGGTGGGGGGACAGGGCACTGCCCCACATCCATGTCTGTCTGGCCTCAGCTCCCTGGAATGAGGAATTGCAGTTTCCTGGGAAGCAGAATGCTTTCCATAGATTAATCATCCAAAGGATAATGCATTTATCAAGCCTCTGTTGGCTCAGCCACTGTCAGAAACTGACAAAATGATGACAATCATAGTTTCTGTGCTGGCAGAGCACACAATCTAATTTTAAAGGTCAAATTGATTCAATAGACATTAAACACCTGCTATGTTCAATGTCTTTTGCTAGGACAGACAGACAGTTATAGATAATCTTGAAAGTGAGCAAGGGAAACAGATATGCAGACAGCTCCCTGAAATCTATTACAGTGAAAGCTACATATAAAGAGAAGTATAAGGGGCTGGTGGAGTGGCTCAAGAGGCAAAGTGCCTGCCTAGCAAGCATGAGGCCCTAAGTTCAAACCCTAGTACCACCAAAAAAAAAAAAAAAGAGAGAGAGCAAGAGCGAGAAGTGTAAAGTGCTCTGCTGGTGGGGACAGAAGCAGGTGGAGGAAAAGGACTGTTACTGGAGACTAAGAGCTCAGTGCTTCCTAAATGGCACATAGTTCTCTTCCTAGATAATCAGCCTTGCTAGGTCAGGGAGACCTGCCCTGAGTTGGCGTGCTGGGGTTGAGCTGAGCACAGAAATTTGGAACAGAACAAGGACCCCAAGAGCTGTGAGACATGACCTTGTAATGCCCATAAGATGGGGACAGAACAGTGACTTAGGCACATCTGTTCCCTTTCCTGGCTTTGGGTCAGATATTGATGAGTGTGAGGACTACGGAGATCCAGTGTGTGGGACCTGGAGGTGTGAGAACAGCCCTGGCTCCTACCGCTGTGTTCTGGGCTGCCAGCCTGGCTTCTACATGGCCCCTACTGGAGACTGCATTGGTGAGTGGGGATTGCGGGGAGGGAGGGCTGAGGACATCTGGTTTTCCCTGTATTGGGCTAGAAATGATTTTCTCCTAAGGACACTGTTTGTGTAGCTCTTTGAAGTTTGTATATTTTCCATACAGCAGAGCTTACACAAAATTGAAGAGGAATGTTACTGTTTGAGTTTTCTTGTCTAGTGTGCAGTAGTTGCTTTTCATAGATCTTGATGTTAATAGACCAGATAAATAAGTATTCCCAGAAAAGAGAGACCAGGCACACCCTTTACCCTAGTCCTCATTGTCCCACAGACATAGATGAATGTGCCAATGACACTGTATGTGGGAACCACGGCTTCTGTGACAACATGGATGGCTCCTTCCGCTGCCTCTGTGACCAGGGCTTTGAAACCTCGCCTTCAGGCTGGGACTGTGTTGGTGAGAAGCCTGTGGGCTGCCCAAGATCTGGGCCAGGGAAAGCTCTTGGGGCATTCTCACCTCTCCAGATCTTGGCTGTCCTAGGTGGAAGTTGTAGGCCTGATGAATTCATGATTCCATGGCTCTATAATAGGGCTCCAGAGTTGAAATCTCTCAAGGAAGAGAGATTTCAACTACCCCTCCAGCTGGCTGGATTCGTAGGGAGGCAAGGCAAAGTCCGGCCAGGAAAGGGAACAAGCACGTGAAAGAAGGTGCCTCCTCCTGCGCACCCACCCCCACCCATGGGGCTCAAAAGGCCCCATGTGTGGAGAATGTGCTAGAGAAGTGATCCTTCTTTGTTCATTTTCATGATCCTTTTCTGCAGCTCCTCTCCTTTCTTCCTTCCCACACCCTCTGTCCATCTATCCTCCTTCCTGCTAATTCAAACTGACTTTTGCTTTCTTCACAAAGCCTAGCATGGTTCTCCTGGGGCGTGAGGACCTGCTTGGCTGGGCTTCAGTCAGGGACAGGGTGTATGAGCTTCCTTTTTTCTGCCCATGAGCCTGTCCTCATGCCTGGCAGATGTGAACGAGTGTGAGCTCATGCTGGCTGTGTGTGGGGCTGCGCTCTGTGAGAACGTGGAGGGCTCTTTCCTGTGCCTGTGTGCCAGCGACCTTGAAGAGTACGATGCACAAGAGGGGCACTGCCGTCCTCGGGTGGCTGCAGGTGAGACCTGGGAGATTCACAGGACCCCTCCCCTCTTGTCATCTATAATGACTCTATGACTTACAAAGGGCATCTACTAGCTTTTGGCCACTGAAAGTTGACTGGGCCAGTGTTGTGGGTGCAGGTTAGGAAGAGAGCATGGAGGGGTAAGGAGTCTAGATGCTGCTCATGCCGGGATACAGGGAGCCTCCAGCATCCAGGCTGCAGCCTAGGGAGGCTCAGGAAGCTCTGATACTTACATGGAGTGGTTCAAGGGACCTCAGATTGAACCTTGGAAGGACTGAATCCATCTGAGCCCTGGATGACTCTTCTAGTTAAGGGAAGACTTGAAGTTGAGCTAAGCTGGACCTTTTCTTTTCCACCTCCCACTCCATCCCAGACCAGTGGCTTAACCTCTCACCCCAGGCTGGCCCATGAGTCAGCTGGCTTCACTGACTTGAGGAACAGCAAAGGGGACCTTGCAAGGAGCAAGGAATGGTGGGAGGAGGTTCCTGTGAGGTAGAACAGATCAGACAGCTGCCATGTGTGCACCAGGGATGGAGGCAGTCCACAGGGGATGAAGGCAGATAGTGTACTAAGAAGAACAGGAACTTGGGCATCAGAGGCATTGGGTTCAAATCCCCACCTCACCCCTTATTAGCTCTCTCGGCTCAGCTCCTCCATCTGTAGGAGGGGAACAATAACAGTACCCACTCCTCAGGATGCTGAGAGTATCAAGTGAGATGAGACATGTGACAGCATTTTGCACACTGCAGTGCTATATAAATGTTAACTTTAAAAGATAAATTCAAGGCTGGTGATGCCTCAGAGGTTCGTGAACAGACGGTAATAAGGGACATTTATCACACACAGCTCAGAGCATCCAAGAGGCCCCAACAGGGGATGATGCCCCTGGCACCATCCACATGGAATGCTACTCTGAGTACAATGGAGACCCACCCTGCTCCAACATCCTGGGCCAGAACTTCACGCAGGCTGAGTGCTGCTGTACCCAGGGTGCCAGATGGGGAGATGCCTGTGATCTCTGCCCATCTGAGGACTCAGGTAAGGCCTCAAAGGTCAGCTCTGCAGTGTGACACTTAAAGAAGGCAGAAGGGAGTCAGGCATGATGGTGCATGCCTATAATCCTAGACAGGAGGATTGAGAATTTGAGGCCAGCCTGGCTTACAGTGAGACACTGTCTCAGAAAAAAACAAAGCAAAAAGAAAAAGGAAAGGGGGGTAGAGGGGTACAGCCTTCCCTCTTTGAGCCAGGATGCCTCTCTACACAGTTGAATTCAGTGAGCTCTGCCCCAGTGGCAAAGGCTACATCCCTGTGGAAGGAGCCTGGACATTTGGACAGACCATGTACACAGGTAATCTTCCTTGACACCCTCCTTCCCAAACTCCATTTGCCGGAGGACTGGGCTCTGGCCTGGTCCTCCAGGAGGTCCTGGGAAGTCCTGCATCTTTCCCTCCCATTCCCTGGCCCCTCACCATGGTTTCCATCTTTTCTTCTCCAGGACTGACTCCTTGCAGAGTTTTAGCTGGAGCTCTGCCTGAGCTCCTGGAATGTCCACAAGACCATCAGATCCATTTCCCTACACCCTCCTGGCACAAACTATGGTGCTTTGTCTAACCCTTACCTCACCATATGAGGGCACAGGGACAGAGCAAGGGTACTGCTACACAAAGGCCAGGCACAGTACCTATTTCCCTGGCCCCATAACCAGACACTGGGGAGCCCATGCTCCTATTGTGGGGTTTCAGATATTGAGTCCTGAAGCTAGTCCTGCAAAGGAAATAATAGAAATAGCTTTGTGTGTGTGTGTGTGTGTGTGTGTGTGTGTTTGTGTGTGTGTGTTGCTGGGGACAGAACCACAGCCTCATGCCTGCAAGACAGGCACACTACCAAGAAGGTCTCCAGTCCCAGAAGTAGCTTTTCTTGAGTGCTTGCTGTGCACTAAGCACTATTTTAAGCACCTTATGCATTAGTGCTTCTTAATCCTCAGGACAACTGTATGACATTAAGTGGTAGTATCCACACACTACAGCATTCTTCTAGATAAGAAACTGAGGGAAGGAGAACTTAAGCATCTTGACCAAAGTCACTCATAAGTGGCAGGGCCAGGATTTAAACACAGACAGTCCAGTTTTAGCACCCCTGGCCATAAGTAGTGCCTCCTGCTTCTTCCCCACTTCCTCTTACCTCTCACTGCCCTCCTGTAGATGCTGATGAGTGTGCACTGTTCGGGCCTGCTGTCTGCCAGAACGGCCGGTGCCTCAACACTGTGCCCAGCTATATTTGCCTATGCAATCCTGGCTACGACTACGATGCCTCCCACAGGAAGTGCCAGGGTGAGAACACACATTGCCCCTCCAATCCTGTCCTGCCAGCCAGTCCCACTCTTGCTGGGAGTCCCCCCACTTCCTGGGGAAGATGCCCACTGTGGCAGACAGGTCTGAAGTGAGAGGGCTCTGAGCTGTCAGGGATTGTCCCTGGGGAGGAGCCTCACAGGCTGGGCTGGATTGGGGAGGGGGCTCTTCACGGTAACAGAAAAACCACATTCCAAGAGCATAGTCCATGTATAGGTCACCTTGGCCTGACCCACAGATCACAATGAATGCCAGGATATGGCCTGTGAGAATGGTGAGTGCGTGAACACAGAGGGCTCCTTCCACTGCTTCTGCAGCCCCCCACTCACCCTGGACCTCAGTGGGCAGCGCTGTGTGAACAGCACCAGCAACACAGGTGAGTGGCCTGGGGTATAGGCAGCAGGGAGTATGGGCCTTGGCCTGGGCTGAGGTTCATATTCTCTGGGGACCTGTGCCACCAGAGGACCTCCCTGACCATGATATCCACATGGACATCTGCTGGAAAAAAGTCACCAATGATGTATGCAGCCAACCCTTGCGTGGGCACAAAACCACCTACACAGAATGCTGCTGCCAGGATGGAGAGGCCTGGAGCCAGCAGTGTGCTCTGTGCCCCCCCAGGAGTTCTGGTGAGAACATCTTCAGGGCTGAGCCCAGCTCCAAAAAGGGGGTGCTGTCACATTAGAGGGAAGAGAAAGGCAATCTTCCATCCTTGTTGCTTGGGGACAGAGTGGGAGTGGAGTGGAAAAACTGCCAGGAACTCCCATAGAGCCCCAATCCCTGCATGTTCCCTCTGTCTTGGGGAAGATAGCCAGGTGAATAGCTATCTTAGATATTCTTTAGATAGCAAGAGTTGAGCCCAGCTCCCTGTCTCCCTCCTCCCTGACAGAGGTCTATGCTCAGCTGTGCAACGTGGCCCGGATTGAGGCAGAGCGAGAGGCTGGAGTCCATTTCCGGCCAGGCTATGAGTATGGCCCCGGTCCAGATGACCTGCACTATGGCCTCTATGGTCCAGACGGGGCCCCCTTCTACAACTACCTGGGCCCTGATGACACCATCCCTGACTCCCCCTTCCCCAACATGGCCAGCCAGCTGGGAGATACCACACCAATCCTTGAATCTCCTCTGCAGCCCTCTGAGCTCCAGCCCCACTATGTGGCCAGCCATCCAGGTATGTTGTTGCAAAACTGGGGAAAAGTTGGGCTCTGAAGCTACTTCCCTTTTACCTCTTTCACCTGTCAGTCCTATTGGTAGCAGGATGAAGATGGGAAAGGGAAGATGGACACTGGTAGCTCTTGCCTGTAATCATAGCTACTGGGGAGGCAGAGATCAGGAGGATTGCGGTTTGAAGCCAGCCCCGGCAAATAGTTTGTGAGACCCTGTCTCAAAAATACCCACCACAAAACAGGGCTGTCAGAGTGATTCAAGCAGTAGAGCACCTGCCTAGCCAGTGTGAGGCCCCGAGTTCAAACCCCAATACTGCCAAAAAAAAAAAGAGTATGGCACTTGTTTCCTGCCTAAAATGACATAAGCACCTTCTGTGAGAATTTCATAACCTCTAACTTGCTCCCATCCAAGATGTTCAACCCTTCATACTGAAGGGTGAGGGTTGCAGTGCTGGAGAGACTGGGGTCTGAGCACAGGCCTCAGCCTCCTTCTCTTGGACCTTCATCTCCCAGAGTTGCCAGCCGCCTTTGAAGGACTTCAGGCAGAGGAGTGTGGCATCCTGAACGGCTGTGAGAATGGTCGCTGTGTGCGCGTGCACGAGGGCTACACCTGCGATTGCTTTGAGGGCTTCCACCTGGACGCAGCCCACATGGCCTGTGTGGGTAAGCTTAGAACAGAATGAAGCCTTGAGGCTAGCCCCTACCCAGACACTGCATTTGGGATGTCTAGCAAATGCGCTGCTGCCCCCTAGTGGGGGTGCCCATGTGTCAAGCCAGCAGGTGAGAAAGCCAAGGAAAGTCTAAGGCTGGGCTCAGAAACTCTGGAGGTTCTAAGACAGAAGGCAGGGATGGCAGAGCATGGTCTTGGGCACACTGAGGTCATTGTCCCTTGCTTTTTGTCCTTGAGTTGCATGGTTTAAAGAGGTGATTCAACCTCTAGCTCTCACATCAGGATTCCATTGTAGGGCAGGAGCCAGAGTTTAGTGACCAGGGGGACAGAGGGCTCCCTACAGCTTTCTCCTCTTTGTCCTCCTTAGATGTGAATGAATGTGATGACTTGAACGGGCCTGCTGCGCTCTGTGCCCATGGTCACTGTGAGAACACAGAAGGTTCCTACCGCTGCCACTGCTCCCCAGGTTATGTGGCTGGGGCAGGCCCCCCACACTGTGCCGCCAAGGAGTAGCATGAGGGGTCTGTGCAACTACCTGGAAATGGCCTCCAGCCATAGGCAGGAGCCTTGAGGATGCTTTCCTAGCTGGGAAGACACTGTGATGACATCAGGCCAGAGAGCCACAGCCCAGCTCCGTCAGCTTTGCCTGCTTTCACCTTTTCCAGCTTAGGCTCTGGCTGTGAGCTTGTCACTGCCTCCATGCCTTTGCTTGGCTCAAATACCACCAAATGCTTTAATGCTTCAGCCAGTGGCCATGAGGCCCAGCCCACCACCTGTCCTGGCCTTATTGTGGGATGTTTATCAAAGGCAGCCCTCATCCACCCCTCAGGCTGTGTAAACATGCAAGGTCCTGTGACCTCACACCATTGACACCCCTTTCCAGCTGTGATTCATCTATCATCCTGATGATTCCATAACTGAGACGGAGGCTACGTCCAACCTAGGATGGTCTTTCAGAATCTGTGGAGCAAGAAAGGGTTTGGGAAGAGTTTGAGGGAGGACTCTAAGAACACCTCTCAGAACTATTACTGCTGCCCAATCAATCTGGTCTGGGTCCTGATTTTGCTACATCTCCATCCTGTAGCCAGTTCTGTAGCCCAAGGAGAGACGGAAGATCCCCTCATCTCAGAGAAGCAAGACTTGTATTAGCTTGCAGAATGTAAGAGGCACAAATGAAGAGGAATAAAGAGCCTGAGAAAGCAGCATGGGGAGTTGCTGTGAAGGGCGGAGCCAAGGCATGACACTAGTCCAAAGAAAACATCCAGTGGCTTTGAGTAAACATTCAAAATCCACCCAGTGACAGCCCCTGTGCACCACCAGCAGCAAGTGCTGTTACAAGATGAAGTGCCCATCTCCAAAGAACTCTATGAAATATGTACACTTCTTAGAGGAAACAAATCTCTTCTGGGCACTCCTTGTGAAAACCAAATTAGTGTGCTAATGAGAAAAAGGGCCATTTTCCAGTGTGGTTTTGTTCAGAGGAAGCCAGATTTCCAGTGTTGCTTTTCAACTTTACTCGGAGCCTCTGCCGTCCTCCCCTTCAGAAAACAGATGTCTGGAATCCCTCTGAGTTTCAAAGTAGAGACTCACTTCAACCCAGGCTAACTGGGAGTTCAGAACCATGGTGGAATAAAAAATGTACATCTAGGCTCTTTAGTTCTTGTTTTTATTTCATGTTAGACCAACTTTCTTTACCATGTTCACTAAGTATAAGCAGTAGAGATGAGACTATACCTACTCTATGACCAGCTCTGCCAATAGCTATGACTGGGTTCCAGTGGGCAAAAGTAATTTACAATTCCAAGACAAGGCAAACTCTGACTACATTTCTCTGATGAATGACAGTGTAAATGAACAGGCTGCATGGGACTGAAGACATGAGAGATTTTAACTGATTCTTTTAATCTGACTGTTCAACCTGCTGCTCTGATTGCAGCCATCATATAACTTACTGACAGCTTGCTTCACATAACTTACTGATTGCTGTGAATAAATTTCACCTAAGCATCCAACAATCCTACTTGCAGTTTTTATCCCCAATTTACAGGTGAGGAAATTGAGACACAGAAATCTTTAATAATTTGCTCTAAGCCACCATATTATATATATTAGCCAGTATATTTTGTCTGTTTTTAGCAAACAAAAATAAATGACTATATTCTTTCATTCATAATAAAAGGAATGCAATTTACCAGGCATGGTGGGACACACCTATAATATCAACATTTAGGAGGCAAAGGCAGGAGGACAGAAAATCTGAGGCCAGAGTGGGCTACATAGCAAGAACCTTTCTCATAAAACCAAAAGTTGGGGATGTAACTCAGTGATAGAAAGCTTGCCTCTCATGCACAAGGCCCTAAGTTTGATCCCCAGCACCATCAAAAAAGAAGAAAAAAAGAAATGCAAGCTTAAAATGCACAATGAGTACTGGGAATGAGGTAGCTAGCTCAGTGATAAAGCACATAAAGCATGGTTAGGGCCCTGAGTTCGATCCCCAACATCAGACACACACACCAAAACAAAAACATCAAAGAGATACTTCTTTAAAAGCCTGGCAAAGATCAAGAAGTTTGTTCAGAGCCCCAGTTGGCAAGCTTCTGGGGAAGCAGACAGTCTTGGAATAGAGAGTAGAAACTGGTACAGCCTCTGAAGAGGACAATATGGCAATGTCTTTCAAATAATAACAGCACTAACTCTTTGGTAATTTCACATTTAGGAATTTAACTCTCAGATATTCTCACTAAATTTGAAATGATATATGAGGTTATTTATTAGCAAAAGATTAGAAATAATTTTGATGGAACCCTAAAAAAGAAAAACCCAACTCTAAATGCCTTGATGAGGTATCAAAAAAAAGAAGGGGGCCTGTATAATAAATAGCATGTAACCTATTATTTGCTATTTGTCTGAAGAGGAAAGTGGATTGCTATTAACTACATCCTTGCTATGCAACCTTACACTCTTATCATTCCGAGACTCTTATCATCCACAAACACCTTCATGGCACTGTCCTCCTAAATGCTGCTCCCGCTTGCCCCTCCCCCCAGACCTTGCCTTCCTGCTCATCCTTCTAGACATATTGGATGCACATATACATATTTCCTTTTATGAAAAACACAAGTGGCATACTCTGCATGCTGTTCTGCACTTTAGTTTTTTTACTTTATACCTGCACATAAAGAACTGTCTCATGGCTGGGTATGATGTTAAACACCTGTAATCCCAGCATTCATGAGACAGAGGCAGGATCTCAAGTTCAAGGCCAACCTGGGCTACCTAGCAAGACCTGTCTCAAAAAGAAAAAAAAAACAATAAACCTGTCTTATTCTATTTTATAGCCCTGACTATTCTGTTGACTGGACAAACCATAATTTATTTAACCAGTCCCTCACTGGCAGACATTTTCATTGTCTCCTAACTTTTGCCAATAATGCTGTAACAAATATTCTTGTGCATAAGTTATTTCACATTTCTCTGGGATAATTTTTTAAAAACAGTAACATGAGGAGGGTAAAAAGTGGACAGGTACAACATTGAGACTTCTCACTGTATCCTATTTTGTGTCTTTTTGAATATGTACATGTATTACCTAGGGACAAAAAAATAAAATATTTTTAAATACTACTGGCCAGACTGCAAAATGCCCTTACCCTTTATATATTTACCTAACTATAGTTTATAATTAAAGTCAGGAGATAATTATTTTCAAACTTCTTAAAGCAAACTTGTATTAAGCAGCCCTGAGGCATTTTTATGGGGAAAGAATGACAAACAGAGATTTTAGGAGAACAGTTGTAAACATCAATCCTAGATATCAAGAAAAGCAAAGGTATTTCCTGCCTTTCAAACTAATATGCAAAACTGTCATACTGCAGTGGGTGGTATTAGTGTAGGCCAGCTGCATAGCATCAGTTCTGGGTAAGAGTTTGAGGGACAACTATCCCATTCCTTATACCTGGTTGCTGCTGCCAAATGTCAGCCCTCCACGCTTTTATAACAAAAGACAAAAGAACAGGGCTTGATTCTCAGAAAAAATTAAAATCTTCCTGGACATCTACTCTAGCACTCCTTCTTAATTTCTTACTTCTGAAAAGATTTCCTCCTAATTCCTTGAAATCAGCCAACACATATAATACCACTAATAACTATCAACTCAAAAATGTAATTGGACAAGAGGCTCCCTTCTTTGGGCCACCAACATAAAGCAGATTCAGGGCTCCCTTTGATTCTTGCATTAGGATGGTTTTTGCTAAAGATGGAGTGTATCGCCTGGATTCCATTCCCAGCACAAAACAACAACCCATAATGGCTGGAGGAATGGCTCAAGTGGTGGAACTCCTGCCAAAAAAGAAATTCAAACCAACCAATTTGGTGCTGGAGGCATTGTTCAAGCAGCAGAGCACCTGCCTAGCAAGTACGAAGCCCTGGGTTCAAACCTCAAGAAAAAACAAAACAAAAAAAAAAATAGGATATGATGTTGTTGCATAAAAACTTAAATAAAGCCAATTCTACAACAAATAAAGGCCTTGACAACCTCCTCTTAAAAGTAATGAATTAGATGTGGCTGTACATCACTAGAATCCCAGCACATGAGAGGTTGTGACAGGAGGATCTCAAGTTCAAGGCCAGCCTGGAACTTTAGTTTGACTCTTGTCCCAAACTAAAAGAAAGTAATGGGAAGACTAAAGATCTTCCAATTGTACAGGAAGAGCATAAGTTTTCCTAAATGAATTTGCAGTGAGCAAATACGAAATGTCTGCCAGCTTTTATGGTTTGTCAGGGAGAGGGCATCTGGTCAGAAAGGGCCTGCAGAAGATCCTAAATCTGTTTACCATCATGTTTAGTCCAAGCAAATGGCCCAGTGTCCCCTTGCTGGCATTCCCCCAGCCAAAACTTCATGTTGCCACTTCCAGTTTTCCATGTGTTCAATGTGAAGGTGCATTCTCTCCAATCTACCTTTTTCTAATACCAAACTCATTCTCCCATTACCAGTAGATACTCATACAGGATTCTGCACTGAAAGGGCCCTTGTTTCTGCCTAGGTGACCACTGCAATTTAATGGGAATACACATTTAGAAATGAATACTATGTGGCTTGTGTCGGTTTTAAGCCACTAAGTCAGTAAATAACCCACAAAAGTATTCTAGAAGGACTGAGGGCATAGCTCAAGTGATACAGTGCATGCCTAGCAAGTGTGATACTCTGAGTTCAATGCTCAGCACTGCAAAATTTTTAAAATATCCCATAAAAATATTCCAGAAGAGTTGGATTATAGGCTCAAGCCTGTAATCCCAGCTATTCAGGAGGCAGAGATCCAGAGGATCATGGTTCAAGGCCAGCCCAAGCAAAAAGTTATCAAGACCAGTAAGTCAAGAGTGATAGTGTGTCTACAGTTCCAGCTATGTAGAAGGCATAGTGCAGACCAGCCAGAAGGGTAAAAAGAGCAAGACCCAATCTGATGGTTGGCTCAACTGGTAGATTGCCTGCCTAGCAAGCAAGAGGCCCAGAGGCCCTGAGTTCAATATATATATTCTGTAAGAATAGGTTCTAACATTTAGAATGTAGCAAAATCTGTTTTTTTTTTTTGGTGGCACAGGGGTTTGAACTCAGGACTTCACACTTGCTAGGCAGGAGCTCTACTGTTTGTGCCATAACATCAGCTAAATCTCTTTTGAGGGATGATGAAAGTTCTTCAGTAATCTCAACTGAAAATCTTATTAGGCCCAGGTATGGCAGCAACTTTCAGTGTCTTAGTAACATGTGTACACAAGTGTTTCCATGGTTCTGCTTCCTTTCACAGCCATTTAAGAAATCTGCTCAGGTTTCTGACAGGCCACTTCTTTCCTCTAACCACCTGATAGTTTGTTTCCTCTAAGCCCTAGATTTCCCACATTGTAACTGTATCTACTTTCTGGTATACTTTGTTTCCAAACTCTGTTTCCATATTTTATTGGTAAATTTTCTTACTAAATTACCTTAATTCCTATCTAGTATAGAAATATAAGTGTGTGCCATAACTTTCAGACTTCCAAGCTAATGATGGATTTAACCAATAAGTCTTCCAGAATCAACAGGGTTGTGCTTCCCCCAACAAGTATTAATTTAGTATTAGTATTAAGTTATTTATTGTGTGAGTAGTATGAATTTTAAGTTGCCTGTCCATACAGTTCTGCCCCTAACCCCCATACTGTGATATAGTTATTTTAATATAGTCTATTTAAGTATCACACCTAAACAAATACTCTGAAATTCACTAGAATTTGTGGCCTACACGTTTCTCTTTCAGCAACTCTAAAGTAGCATTGCTGGGCTTGGCAAATAAATGTATGTCTAACAGATATACATCAGTATGAGATATACTTTTATTAAAAAGATTAAATGACATACTAAAAATTATTTGTTATATAAATTTTTTTAAAAAGCCCCACATATTATCTGTACTAACAAGGGACTGCTTCCTGCTACATGAGACATTTTACACCGTAAGACAGGTGAAGCAACAAATCCTAAAGGGATTTGGTTGTTACATGTTTACAGAATCTTGAAATGTCTGTATGAGAATAGAGAGGCTACTTTTCAAGTGATTCGGGTATTTCTGGGGGATTAATCCAAGTTTTCTGGGGGATGGGCTCTTAATGTTATAAATCCTAGCAGATCCATGAGTATGACAATAAAATGTATCTGCCCTATCACATGAAGTAGCAAATGGGCAGCACGGAAAGTAAGTCCAGTCTGGGGACTGGCTCAAGTGGTACAGTGCCTGCCTATCAAGCATAAGTCCCTGAGTTCAAATCCCAGTACAGAAAGAAAGTCCAAAGCAATTCAAGAAGAGTGAAATCAGCTTGGCATGGTGGCACATGCCTGTCATTTCAGCACTCAGTAGGTTGAGACAGGAAGATCTTGAGTTTGAGGCCAACCTGAGTTACATAGCGTGAGACTGTTTTTGAACTCAGGGCCTCACACTTGCTAGGTAGGTGCTCTTACCACTTGAGCCACTCCACCAGCAAGACTGTTATTTAAAAAAGATGAAATGAGAAAGACATTTCACTTGCCTTTCTCATCTACTCTGGCCTAGTAATTAGTGTTCAAGCTACCCAATCTCTGACCCTGAACAAAACACAATAAGGATTCCTTTGAAATGAGGCTTTATACATAGTTATACACATATGTATAAGCAGTTCTTAAGGCCAGAGCAGTAACTCCAAATTCTGGTGTCTTGGTGGTTCTACAGATTACATTGGGTTCCAACCAGTGATTAAATCTAAAGGAACAGCATCTGGAAGCGTGACTTTAGCATGGTATGGTGTGGTGGGGAGAGAGCAGCATCTTGTCAAGAGTAAAAGCTTCACATTCTGAAAATAATAGTGGCAAAACACAACACTCCTACATTAAGGAAAATAAAATTGAGAGGACATGATTAAAAGGAAACCTCTAGAATTCTACTAATCCCAGTTTCTTCACATGGTACAACTAGTAGCAATCTCAGGGTCACCTGTCATCACATCAAAGTTTGACAGAAAAGGATGACCCACAGGAGCAGCCTTGCTGAGCTTGAGGATTGTTCAGCACTTGAAATGAGCTTCGGATCAGTTCTTGGCTGAAGTCCACCTGAGCCCCTTTCACAAAGGCCAAGCTATCAGAGTCAACCACCACTCTTGCCCCACCCTGTTCAAATACCCTGAAAAGAGAAGAGAAAGGCATTAGAAATATCACAAATGTCAAAAGCATGCCACCCTCTGAGCCCAAAGGTCCACATCCTTGTTTTCTGAAGTACAGTCAGTGGCTCATTCCTTATGACCTCTAACAGGTGCTGATTTTCTTTGAAGCAAAAAGACTCAATGGAATGAATGCGAGAAAACATTTATAAACTTGGGCCTGAATCAAGTCCAGCCTGACTCTCAACTGACTACCCTATGGGACCTAGGCAGGCCAATTTTCCTCCTATGTAACCTAATTATTTTGAATCAAGAAGTCATCTCTTTACCGTATCCTCAGTGTTAACCATCCTTAACAAACCCTTTAAACTGGAATACAAATACACCTTAAACTGGATCCTTTGTATCCCTCCAGAACACCCTGTGGGGACCCACCCCTTCCTCCTTGCCTGTCGTCGGGGTTAATAACTGTATCCAGTGAAAATTTGTATTGGAATCCAGAGCATCCGCCTCCCTCCACTTGCAGCCTGAGGAATTCTGACCCTTCGGTGATTTCCAGAAGCCTCTGAAACGCAGGAAGGGGGATCAAGGATGCCAAGCAAGCGGCGGAAAAACAGGTGGGTGAAGGGGAGCCCCAGGTCAGCCTCCTACCTGGATACAGCTGTCAGTGAGGCGGATTTCAGCGTCGCCAGTTTCGGGGCTGGAGGACGACGCTACCCAACGCGTCTGAAGTCCCAGGGAGGCCATGCAGGGTCTGCAGTGCAAGGAAGGAGGATGCACCCGGGAGCAGACGAGGCACCTGGTGACCTAACGTGGACCGACTCACGCCAAACCCTCACCTCCCTCAGTGTTCCATTCGTCCCGGAGTCGCACAACCTAATACCATTTCCACATGCCTCCCATCCTTGGTACCTGTTCCTCCTCCAGGGAATGACCGCTCTCAAAGCCACGGCCGTTAGGGCGGCCGCCATCTTCCTCCACAAGGCCCGCCCCTCGCCTCGCCCTCATCCACTCCTAAACAGAGACCTCCGGAGGCGGGGAGACGGGCCGGTGGGCGGGACCGCTCTGAGGCCCCGCCCCCGAGTATACCTATTGGGTAGTGAAGGAGGAGACGGAGTTTGATTGGCTAGGAATGCTCCCGCTTACGGAAGCGGGGCGGTACCAATAGAGTCGGGGCAACTCTGAAGAAAGGAGCAGGGCGGAACCGAGCTATACGTGGGTGGACTCGGCCTCTCAGCGGACAAGATGGGCGGAGAGAGCCTGCAGGCTTCAGGCCCGGCTCGGGAGCCAGAGGCGGGGCGCGGGCGGATCTCGGCGGTGGTGGCTGGTGACAGGTCTCCTGACTGGGCTCCTCCCCGCCGCCCCGCCCAGACAAGTTTATCTTGTGACCGCGGCGGCCGCTCTTCCTTCGTCGAGCTTTGGAGCCTCCTTGTCTGCGATGCGTTTCCCGGCCGCCGTGTTCCTGTTCCTGGCGTTGTTCGCCGTCGCCCGGGCGGAGCCCGTGCACTTCAAGGACTGCGGTGAGCGCCAGGCCCGCCCGAGGTTCCCGCACGGTCGGAGGAGCCCTCCCGGCGTCATGCGCCGAGACCCCCGGGTTGGATTGGGCGGGTTCCTTGGACCCCGGGCCGAGGGGGCTGGTTTGGGTGAGAAGGTGCCGGCCCACCTGGTGGCACCAGACCTCGCACAACTTTGTCGTTTTCCTTGCAACGCGTGTTTTTGGGGTGCTTGTGCATTCATTCCTGAAGTGGGTCTTTTGTTGAAGTTCTCCAAAGTTTGTAGGGCGGCCATGAAGACGGGCATGGTGGTGCAGTCTGTAATCCCAGCACTTGGGAGGCAGAGGCAGGAGGATCCCAAATTCAAAGGCGGCCTAAATTAGATGGCGAGATCCCGACTCAAAAACAAAACAACAAACACACACATACACACACACACACACACACACACACACACACACAAATTGAGCAGACGTGACATTAGAAGGTCTGTATGCAACACTTGAGTTTAGGGAAGGGGTGCATAACCTTTTTGGGAGGACGTGGGGCGCTACTGGGGATTGAACTCAGGACCTTGCCCTTATTTATGCCATGTATCTTGGTTAAACCCATCTTTCTCACACACGTACACACACACACTTCCTTTGGTTTTTGGGGGGTTTTTTGGTTTTTTTTTTTTTTTTTTTGCGGTACAGGTGTTTGAACTCAGGGCCTACACTGTAAGCCACCCTGCCAGCCCTTTTTTGTGATGAGTATTTTCGAGCTAGGGTCTCTCGAACTATTTGCCGGGGCTGGCTGGCATTGAACCTCTATCCTCCTGATCTCTGCCTCCATTTTCTTTGTTTTTTTTTTGTTTGTTTTTTTTTTAACGTCTCTTGCTGACAAGTCAAAAGTCAGTTCTCCTTTTCATTTTCATGATTTATTCTATTGCAAAATAGGGTTTCCTTTGGGTTATGGAATCTTGTCTGGTTTTTTTTTTTGCAATACTGGGGCCTGAACTCAGGGCCTACACCTTGAGCTGCTCTGCCAGCTTTTTTTTGAGATAGGGTCACTCCAACTATTTGCCCTGCCTGGCTTTCAACTGTGATCCTCCTGATATCTGCCTCCTGAGTAGCTAGGATTACAGGCATGAGCCACCAGCGCTCAGCTAATCTTGTGATTCTGAATCAGTTTTTCCTCCTGTAAAACTCATATTTCTAATACCTTGTGACACCTAACTCCCTCTTAATGCTGTGGTTGGAATCTGTTGATTCCTACAACAGGGTGTAGAAATCCATAGAGTTAATTGTTGGAGAACTGGAACAATTCTGTTGGAAGGTGGAGGTGCAGTGATCAAAGAAAGCAACATGAAACTAAAATATGTGAGTGGAAAGGAAACAGATTAAATGACTATATGAATCATTGAGGTCCAGGTAATCTTCCTACAGTCACAATAAAATGGGGAACCAAAATAAGTTTGGTCCTTTGTATATAGTGCCCAAGTAAAAATAACTGTTTGATAAATATTTGCTGAAAAAAGAAATGAAGAATTACTTACTCTTTCCACTATGTGATCAAAACTCATGTTGAATCCTGAACCTGTGGCTCATACCTGTAATCCTAGCTACTTCAGAGGCTGAGATCCAGATGATCAAGTTCGAGACCAGCCCATGCAAATAGCTCACAAGACTCCATCTCCAAATAACCAGAGCAAAATGGACTGGAGGTGTGACTTAGGCAGTAGAGTACCTGCTTTGCAAGCGTGAAGCCTTGAGTTCCAACACCCCCTGCTTCTGTAAAAGAAAACAAACAAAAAGCCCCCCCTCAGGTTGAGGTAAAAGCAAAGGTGGGGTTTTGGAACAGGATTGATTAAGGAATAAAGATTGCTGGCCTATTGAGATGCTGTTCCACTGAACTAGACACTGGCACTTGAAAGACGCTACTATTGTTTCAAACTACTTTCCCTCCATTAAACTACATGTCAGCATTTGAGTGAAGACACTTAGTTGTGTTAACTCAGTTCTCATAATCTGTTTTATAGAAGAGGGGACTAAAACACAGAGTAGCTTGCCCACAATCTCACAGCTGGTAAGCAGTGGGACACTGGTGGGGCTTTATGGGCCACTTTGCATTTCAATGGTAATATTTAAAAAAAAAAAAGGAACTAAAATAAATCTGCAAACTATTCATTTGAGAAGAGTTTAAAAAAAAAGAGAAGAAGAAGAAGCAGGTATTCACCTATGGAAAGAACTTCTTAAAAGGAAGGAAGGTTCCCATCACAGATTTTTGGTTTACTTTTGAATTGAGAAATACAATGTAAAAACTTTGGCACACAGATCAAAAGATTTTGCATTCCACTCTACACCTACCTTCCTCTGGGGTAGAATTTCCTCAAGTGAGAAGTGGGACCAAACTAGTTTTGCAGTGTTTGCAAGTTAGAACTGAGGAGTTTTCTGTTGACATTGGAAGTTCAAGAACCTCCTTCAGCGAAAAACTAGACAAAAGAGCTACAGCTTCTACCCTTTACTTCAGGCCTATTAGATCATGTGAGCTAGTGCTGAAAGAAGCAGGTAGAAGCTGGACAAAGAAAGCCTTAACATGAGCACTGATTTTCAACAGCTTTTTTTTTTCCTGTCCACTGAAGATGAGATAGATGGAGTGAGAGTGCTTCAGAAACTGTTTAGGATGCTGAGAGTATACAGTTTGAGAACTTTTGCTATGAAGGAGAAGCAAGCTGGTGTTATTTACAGACCTAGCTGGAGCAGCTGAGCAATGTGATGTAAAGGTAGCTAAGAGACTCCTCTGCCCTAGGGCAGGCACACAGAGAGAAAGCAAAGTACACCTATGTGTGCTTCTTAGTTCATGTCATACTTTAACAGTACTGAGCTATCTGGTGATCATGTGGCAGGTAATGTTCTGTCAACCTGCATTTTGCCTGCTGTCTACATGTGCTCTAGTTTTGAGACAGAGTCCATTCTATTTGCTGCAAACATCATTTCTGTCCACAAAGTATATTTGATGTGACAGACTCAGCTTTGGTGTTAGAAGGGGACTTGCTAACCAACCCAGGAGCAACTGTTCTAAATTAAATTAATGGACTGAATCCAGATATGATGATAATCACAGTAAACACTTAGCTAGCACCACTATGTTCTAGAACCTTGTCTAAGAGCTGTGGGTGTGTGTTAGCTCACGTACCCTGCAGGTAGGTACAGTTATTATCCCCAGATGTTAAGTACATTGCCTTGAGGTTACACATTAAGTAATGGCAGTAGTGAGTTCCAAGCCCCACAATGACAGCGACTCAATGGTAGCACTTAATGTACCCTGTCACAAGCAGTGTTACCAGGCCTTTCACTCATTTCCCATTCAGCTGTTCAGTTTCAGGGGCCTGGACAGGAAAGTGGGATTTTTCAAATGGTGTACACAGAGTACTTTTGTTCTTGGTTAGAATGAGATTTAAAAAAAAAAAGAGAGAAAGAGAAAAGAAAAATACTCCCTGCCTCAAATGCTTACATTAGAGAACATAAGTTTCTAAAGTAGAGTATACATCTATACATTGCAGAAGTGTGCTTAAAATTGTTCTCTTTGGCCGTCGCTGGTGGCTCACACCTGTAATCCTAGCTACTTGAGAGGCAGAGATCATGAGGATCCTGGGCAAATGATACATGAGCCACCATTGAAAAAAACTCAACACAAAAAAATCCCATTACCCACCACTTCCCACCCTGAAAAAATTTTTTTTTTCTCTTTGCTAGGAATATATGGTCAAGTTTAGGGACCATTGATTTGGAAAGTCACCCAGGCATGATTGAAAGATGAGGATGTATTGGGAGCAGGTAGTCTCAAGATGGCAAGTGGAAATGGTAGTACTATGACTTACCTACCACTGCTGCCACATGTGTACTGCTCTAAAATTCTATGTTGGGATGGATTTCCCTGATAACTTCAGAGGAAAAGAAATCTTAGAATCAGGTACCACCAGCTGTTAACTGGTACCAGATAATGCAACTTGCCATCTGCCCATCTTGGTGATGTGAATCAGCCCTGTTTGGAGTAAAGTCTAACTTGGGCCTAAAGTTTTTTGTTTGTTGAAGACCTTGGCCTCTGTCCTCTTCATCCCTCTGATTTTGGGGAAAAAAAATCAAGATCCTGATGACTTACTCAAGATTTGAGTTACTGTTATTTTTTGGAACTAAATTATTTGTTGACTCCTAAGTGAGCCTTTTAGATTTCTTACCTTAAAGAATATGAAGAAGTCAGAAGCTCTGTGGAGATGGTGCAGTTCCCAGTTCAAAAATGGAAGTAGCCCCTCTCTTAATTCATCCCTTCCATCCATTGGATAGTAGGTAGTTAGTTCCTCTATTCAGGTCATCTGTCTGTTGAAGTTTAAGATGGTGGTTCCTCTTCAGTTCCATAAGCAGGCTTCTAGAAGCACTCATTTAAAAAGCTAAGACTAGGTATTCTAACATGTATTGTTTTACCTATACCTTTAGTAGTATTGCTTATTTCTTTAGAAGCTAGGCTGGGGCAAAAGAATGAAGAAATTTCAGGAAGATAGAATACAGCTCTTGAGTTATAGGTGCTGCTCTTAAGCTGTCCTGCTCACAGTCCACTCCCTATCTTTCACCACATCCCCATGGAGAATGTACTTTCCTGCTTATTCTCTCACACCCTCAATAAAACTCTGTCACTACTTTGCAAACAACAAGAAGAAAGAGAACTAGGCAAAGAGTTTGCCAAGAATTTAGGGAAGGTTATAAAATCTGGACAAAAGGTACTTCAATCACTGAAAATCACAAAGGATATGAGGGTTGAACCTCTAAGATAAAAAGAGAATAGTTCTGAGGGGCAAGGAGGAAATACTGAATCAAGAAACCTGAAAGCTTTTCTGGTTGAGTTTAAGTCTGTATCTTCATCAAGAATCCTCATATAGTTCTCAATCAGGAATTTCTTGGTGCTTCAGCTTTCCCTTATCCTTGCTACCAATGTATAATTTCCTAAGGGCCAAAAAATTAATGGCTCAGCAGGCCAATTCTTAGAGCCATGATCTTTATCTTTTCCCGAGTTTTGGCAGACTTTCCAACAAATAACAGACTCCTTAAAGCAGCTGTTGGTCTTGTAGAATGCAGTTTCAAGCACCAGGTTTGCCTTCTAGCTATATTTGCATAAAATGCAGTTATTTTCCCCATAGTGAAGAACTTTCATCATATTTACATGCTTATCTCTTTGCTAGAAAATGAGTGTTTTCATTCAAAGGAAGATTGAGGCAAAATTTGTGAGGCAAGTTTAAACTGTGACCCCTTACTATTAAGAATGCAAGCCAAGGGCTGATAGAGTGGCTCAAGTGGTGGTACATTGTCTGCCTAACAAGCATGAGGCCCTGAGTTCCATCCCCAGTACCACTAAAAAAAAATTGGAAGCCAAGGTCCTGGGTTCAATCCCCAGCACCCCATACACACACAAAGCATACAAGACAAATCAAGGTGCATTTAGATTTGTAATTTAATCTTTTAATATAATTTTTTGTGAACATGGATATTAGTTTGACAAATACTTTCTCTTCACAAAGAAATCAGCTAGCTCCCTTTTTGTTTGATTTATAAGATGTCATCTTAGCAGTAAGATAAACCAAGATTCTTGGGGTTTTTTTGTTTTTTTTGGTGGGATTGGGGGTTTGAACTCAGCACTTGCAAAGCAGATGCTCATGAAGCAGATGCTCTACCACTTAAGCCACGCCTCCAGTCCATTTTGCTTTGGTAATTTTGAAGATGGGATCTCTCAAACTGTTTTGCCCAGATTGACCTCAAACCAAGGTCATCATCTCCTCCTCATCCTCTCAAGTAGCCAGGAATACAGGTGGGAGCCACAGGTATCTGACTAAGATTCTCACTTTTTTTTTTCGTTGGGGGGAACAGTACAGGGGTTTGAGCTCAGAGCCTAGCACTTGCTAGGCAGTAGCTCTACCACTTGCCAGCCCTTTTTTGTGATGGGTGTTTTAGGGTTACGGATGTGAGCCACCAGTGCCCAGCAGATTCTCACTTTTAATTGCACATTGTCTTAAAGATTCCAGGAAAGCCATCAGAAGAGAAACAGGTGTACCATAATTGGGGGAGGACAGCATGTTCCTAATAGGCAGTAGAGGGCCTCTGTGGTGTGTTTTTCCTCCTATTCCAAGTCATTTTTCTTTCTTCCTTTTTTTGCAGGTTCTACTGTTGGAGTTATAAAGGAGGTAAATGTGAGCCCATGCCCTACCCAGCCATGTGAACTGGACAAAGGCCTGTCTTATACTGTCAATGTCACCTTCACCAGCAGTGAGTAAAACTTGTAGCTCTTAACTTCCATTCATGTTGGGTGGGGGGGTATTGGCAGTCAGGGAATTCTGTCACTTTTTGCCAATGTGTGCAAAACTAGGATTCACTATGCCCTTAGACACCATTTTCATAGTGGTTCCATAACGCCAGCCTGGGCAGAAGTTAGTGAGACCCATTTCAACAAAAAGAAAAAAGCTGGGCTTGGTGGCATGCTTCTGTCATCTTTGTATGAGGGAAGCATACATAATAGGAGAGGAAGCATAAACAATAGTGGGTCAGAGTCCAGACTGCCCCCAAGCAAAAATGGAAGACCCTATTTCAAAAATAACCAAAGCAAAAAGAACTGGGAGGTGTGGAGCAAGTGATAAAGGGCCTGCCTAGCCTGTTCAAGTCCCAGTACTGGGCGGGGGGGGGGGGGGGGGGGACGGGACAGGATCTGGAGGGTGTGGCTCAATGTTACAGTGTATACGTAGCATGCGTGAGACACTGGGCTCAATCTCCAGCACCAGAAAGGAAGAAAGGGAAAGAGAGAGGAAGGAGGGAGGAAAGAGGGGAAGGAGAAGGGGAGGGAAGAAAAAAAAAAGAAGAAAGAAAAGGCAAGGCAAGTAGAATGATTTCCCTGTGTCCATTGGCTTTTGACCCATAGCACACAGCAGGCTTTTGTGAGAATGTCACTTCTGGCTACGGACTACAAGTGTTAGTACAAACTTCTATAAACTTCAGAACTCCAAAATGTTATTTCAAGAACTCTACCTTTCATCCCTTAAGTCTACATCTAACTGGAAATGAAGTTGCAGTTAGTATATAACAGCAGTAATAAGGTTTAGGGAACCCACTGGGGACCCAGAAAACAATTCTGAACTTTCTCCTTTGATGTGAAGAAATAGTATGGGAACTTGGGTTGTTTTCTTGTACCACATTGATCACCTTCAGATTCCCACGAATCCAGAAAATGTGAAATCTTTATTTCTGGCACTTGGAAAGCAGGAGGATTGTGAATTATGTAGCCTGGGCTACATAGTGAGACCCTGTCTCAAAAAAGGAATCTTTATTTCTGGATTGAGCAGCAACCTTGAATCATTCCCTCATTTTCATTCCTATTGAACTAAACGGGACAGGCTAATAAAATACCTGAAAGTTCCTGTCATCGCTTATTCATAAAGACTGCTCGAAACATAAGCTCCCTGTTTTCTTTCCTGGAATATACCCTGGTCCTTGTATTGTTTGGTTTTGTTTTTGTTTTAAAAAGCCTGCTAAACAAAAGTCTTCCCTAACCCAGACAGAAAGAATAAAACAGAGCCAATATTCTGGATCTCCAAAATACCCTAACAGCTCATAGCTCTAGTTGCCCTAATTGTGCAGTACCTTTCCATCTTACAATATTGAGGGTAAAGGCTACCAAGAAATGGTTGTCTTTTTAATCTTACCCAGGTATCTAAAGGGTTTCCTTTCACTGTTGTCACTGACCTTGGTATTTAAAACACAAAGGCTGGGGAGGCGGGGCTAGGCCATAGGCTCAATCGCACTACCACAGTAAATCATTCAATAAAGAAATACAATACACTTTGACAGAAACTAATTTAAAGTAAACAGAAAGCTTACTGTGAAAAACCGGAGGCCTTATTCAATGGAGTTATTTTTCCAGATACCTCTGATTCTCCTGAGAACCCATGAAAGGCAATAGAGAACAAAGAGGGGTTAGAAGCAAAGGAAACAGTTCCTGTTGATTGTTTGTACCATGCTAGGTACTAAACACAGCTGCACAGAGATGTAGACCCTAGGTATTGTGAAGTGCAGTTTTTTGATTTACTAGTATAACCATGCTAGTGTTTGAGAATATATTTGAAGATTTGATTTAGAGTTTGCAGATATGCTATTTTCTTCACTCTTCTGATTCTTTTTTTCCTCCTAGGTACTCAGTCTAAAAACAGCACAGCCTCAGTGCACGGCATCCTGTTTGGTGTCCCAGTTCCCTTTCCCATTCCTGAGCCTGATGGTTGTAAGAGTGGAATCAGCTGCCCCATCCAAAAAGACAAGACCTATAGTTACCTGAATAAACTGCCAGTGAAGAGTGAATACCCCTCCGTAAGTGACACTTTCTGAGGACACAAGAGGCCTTAGATCTGGGATAGAAATCTGAGGGCAGAAGGAAGGAAGCACAGACTGGGGTTAAGGGCCTATTATCTCTGATGAAGCAGCAAAGCCTGAAGGAGAGAAGATAGGTTTGAGTGTTAAATAGGCAGATACTTTTTATTGTGTGCCTTTGTTCTGTTACTGTGGCCTAATTGTTAGCTGGGGCCAGTAGGAACTGTTTTAACATAACATTTCAGTTGATCCTCATGAAGTCCTGAGCTTGAAGTAATATTATCTCTGTCTTACAGATGAAGAAATTTGATCCTCAGATGTTATGCAATGTGGACAGAGTCTACTCTACCAAGAAACTTTACGTTCTAGGTTTAGAACTGGGTCTTGTAATTCTTAAAAGATTTTAGGCAGGTACCAGATAGGGCCTTGTACTTTCTAGACAGGTGAGCTATATCCCCAGCCCTCTATCAATCTCTTAACAAGAAAGCAGGAGTTTGTTAGCACCATAGCAGAGAGCAACATTTGAGTGACAATGACACAATGATACCTCTCCTTTCTTCCTTCCCTCTCTAAACTCCACCTTTACTTCTGATCATCCCTACTTTATCTATTCCTTTTTCTGCCAAGCACTTTTAAGTAGGTGGGTCTAGAGTGGGCCTGTACTAAAGATATGAATCATGTTAAGATTGGAAGAAGTAAAGGGATTACTTCTTTATCTTTTTCTTTTCTTTTTTGGCAGTACTGGGGTTTGAACTCAGGGCTTCGAGCTTTCTAGTCAGGCCCTCTACTGCTTGAGCCATGCCTCCAGCCCTTTTTTCTATGAAGAAAAAGAGCTATGTTTTTTGAAAGGAAATCTGGTAGAACCAGGTGTAATCTGGTCATTTATTTTCTAGGAAAAAAAAAACAAGTAATTAGTGAGCATTCTAAAGAGACTCACATACAAGGTATCTATGCATAAGGGCTGTTGGAAACCCTAAAGATCAGAGACAGGTTTGTAGATGAATTAGCAGGATCTCCATGCAATCGTGGACACTTTTTTAGGGGGTGGTACTGGGGTTTGAACTCAGGGCCTCTTGCTTGCTAGGCAGGTACTCTACTACTTGAACCACTCTGCAGCCCTGTTTTGTGTTGGGTATTTTCTTTTGTGTGCATGTATTGGGTATTTTTGAGATAGGGTCTCTCAAACTATTTGGTGGGGTTGGCCTCAAACATATATTCTCCCGATCTTTTCCTCCTGAGCAGCTAGGATTACCGGCACCCAACTCATGGGTACTTCAGAACCTCAGTTATGTATACAGTGTCTAGTCAGACCTGATTCAGAGTAGGTACCTAATATATGGTAGCTACTGTATCTTAAATAAATTACATTTAATTTCAAACTGTGATTTTAAACCCTAAGTAAATCAGTAGTTAATTTATAATAGTCTTGAAATATTTACAAAGCAAGTTTCAAGATGCTGAGTCATTGTAACTCAAAGGCTACATTGTAAAGAAACATTTGTGTACAAAAGAGAGGTAGTAACTAATGACAAGTAAGTTAATGTCCACATAAGAAAGAATCTGTGAAGTGGTTGTGAGTTAGGAATTAGAAGGGCTAGCTCATAGTTTGAATGTAACAAATCAAGGCAGAGATCTCTATTCGGGTATATAATCAGAAAACAGTTTAAGAAAGTTAATTGCTACAAAGGGGTGGTTGTCCTTAAAGTTACTCAGACAGTTTGCAAACTTCTTTGGGCTGGAGGCATGTTTCAAGTGGTAGAACACCAGCCCTGAGTTCAAAATCCCAGTATCACAAAAAAGAAATAAAGAAAAGGAGATATTAGATTCCTAAATAAACAAAAGAAAGCATTATTATAGACTTTAATGTATTCATTAAGACCCTGAGTTCAGTCCCCAAAATAAAGAAATAAGATAAGCTTCTTTGGACTATCCTTTGTTCTTAGACATTTTCATTTCTAGCCAACAAACTTTGCTAAGAATCTAAGTTTTTTACTTTCTGCAGCTCATGTTTATAGTTAGAAAAGACTAGATCAGATTGCCAAATATTTGAGAAATTATTTCAATATAAAATTATTATTCTTGGGCTGGTGGAATGGCTCAAGTGGTGGAGTACCTGCCTAGCATACATGAGGCCCTGAGTTCAAACCCCAGTACTACCTAAAAAAAGAAGTAAATAAAATTATTCTTATAAGCGTTTATTTATATGCCAAATCTAAGAGAGAAAAGAATGCTTTAGAGGCCTGATAAGGTAGTACAAACCTGTAATCCCATCATTTAGGAGCCCAGGGCAGGAGGATCAAGAATTCAAGGCCGGCCTGGACTACATAGCAAGTTCCAGACCAACCAGAGCTACATTAAAACCCTATCTCAAAAAAAAAAAAAGAATGCTTTAGACAAATCAATAGTGAAAGAAACAAAAACCAAAAAAATGCTTTAGAAATTATGTTTGATAACCAGGTGACTACATAGCAAGTTCCAGACCAACCAGAGCTACATTAAAACCCTATGTCAAAAAAAAAAAGAATGCTTTAGACAAATCAATAGTGAAAGAAACAAAAACCAAAAAAATGCTTTAGAAATTATATTTGATAACCAGGTGTGGTGGCAAATGCCTATAATTCTAGTACTCTGGAGGCTAGGGCAGGAGCACCTTGAGTTTGAGGCCAGTCTAGGCTACATAGCAAGACCCTGTCTCAAAAAGTACATACATTTGATACATTGACTGAATATATGATATTGCTAGCACCAATAGGTATAACTTGGATCACTCTTCTAAGTTTAAGGACACAAGTGGTGCCCATATCCTAAGCAAGCTTCATGATGGCATGATTTAAGAAGAAAAGTGTGAGGAATTAGGTAGTTTGTTATAATTTATCTTAGGATACATGGTTAAGCCAATTATGGATTAAGGACAAGTCCTAGTTCATGTTCCCAATTCTCATCTCTTTCTCTAGGTAAAAGTGGTGGTGGAGTGGAAACTTGAGGATGACAAACTACAAAATCTCTTCTGCTGGAGAATCCCAATACAGATCAAAAGCTAGAGCTATTTGATGCCCACAAAGGAGTGAGGGGGCATGTATGGAGGGAGAGGAGGAAATGGAAGAGAAACTAGACCTGCTGAATCAGTGCCATAAGATGAAAGGAATTGCAAGACTTCTGTTTTATGCCTCTCAGATGCCAAAAGTTTCTAAGACTGTGTTTCTTAAGAACTCAGAATGTTGCCTTTGTAATATTCTTTGTAAAAAGGCTAAATGAAGGAAGAGAGTGAGACTGAGAGATTGGTTTAACTGTTTCCCTTGTTATTTGCTGTTGCATTAAGGAAGGCCCAACCAGATAGGACCAGAAGGAGGTTGCTTAGGGGTATTACATAACTTGACCAAAGGTTATTGGTTCTCATCATGAAAAGGGTGTCTTCCAAACCACTTCTGTAGCTGGGATGTTATTTCTATAGGTTCCTCATCTCTTAAGTGCCTCACTGAGTCCAGTGCATCTGGCAACCAAGTCTCCTGACCCTTGACAGCACCTTCCAGCCCCATTGCTTCAACAGTTCATCACTGGTATCCAGAGATTGGTTAGAGAGGGGATTTCTATGGCAGAAATTCAGCTCTGGGTAGCTGGTTCTGTGTGATTGTCTCATGTCTTTTGTTCTGTCTTAGATGGTTTTCATTAAAGGCAACAGTTGATCAGCAGATTTTGGTGGGTTTTTTGTTTTTTTTTTTTTTCAACAACATTGTCCTTTTTTTGCAGCTGGAAATGAACCTTTGAATAAACTTGTCATTCTTGCCTTCTGCATTTGAACTGTGGTCACCTGCTTCTTTCAGATAGTACGTTTTCTAGATCCATGGAAGGCAGGCAGTTCCATTTCTCCAGAGAAGACATGATTCTCAGAGGCTTCCTTTTTGTTCAGGTAGACCTCTATCTTTTATACAAAGTGACATTGTTTTGCTTTCTTTTGCACAATCTTAAACCATGAAACATGCTTGAAAGAAGCAGTGAAAACAAATATCAAACATTACCTAGTGAATAATAACACCTGAGAGGGTGAGGTATGGTGATCTCTGAGGAACCATTGCCATGATGAAGAAAACCTAGGATCTTGAAAATGAAATGTGGTGTTGTAGCTAGTACTGGTTCAATTAGTTAAATCTTGGAGTTACCTACTCAAAGGAACAAGTATAATCATAGGGTACAGGTGGCACAGGGGTTACAACCCTATTCATACTTGAGTAATGAGGACATTGGAGGGCAATCTTGTTAGGTTGGGGCAAAAAGGAGAAAACTTTTATCAGGTGAGTTTTGACAAACTATGAACAAATAATTCATTTGGCTTTTGGCATTTCTTTTCATGCCAGTAATTTCACTAGATCATGGATTTCTTTTTTGTGTTTTTTTTGGGACAGGGTCTTGGCCTGTAGCCCAGGCTGTCTTGGAAATCACTATGTAGCCCAGGCTGTCCTCAAACTTGAGATCTTCATCTGCAAGTTCTGGGATTAAGACATTCACCACCACACCCAGTTCCTTGGATTTCTTTAGCTGAGTTTTGCAGGAAAACCACCAGGGGACAGCAGTGGGTTAGGAATGAAGTTACTAACTGCCAAGCTTTGTTAGTTAATGGCTACTTACAGCCATTCAACCACTGTACTGTTTAGCTCATATCTTTCGTGTATCCTGTCACATTGAGGAGCCTACTCTGTATCAGAATTGTGTGAATTCCAAAAGTGATTCTCTGCTGAGGGTTCTGGCTTCAAACTGCCTGTGCTTGAATCCTGGCTCCACCAATTAATAGTACTACCCATTGTGAGCTTTAAATCACTTTGTCTCCCTGTGCTTCAGTTTACTTACCTGTTAATAGGGACAGTAATATAGGGCTGTCGAGATTAAATGAAATGAGGCACGTGAAACCTTAAATGACCCATGGCATGTGTAGTATGCACTGTTGATGTTAGCTATTGTTCTAGGACACACTGTTCTTTGTCTAGAAATAGCAGGGGAATCAGGAGGTACAATCTGATGTGCAGTGCTGTGTCTCAGAAAAGCAAGACTGTCTTCTGTGAACAGGAACTTTCTGAGGGGCCTAGAAGAGCTCAGTTCTCATATGTGTTTGCTGGCTCCCTCATGTTTTTTAGCCACATTGAGGTTAACACCTACAAACCCTGCATGGCATACCCCTCTGCCCTTGTATGTTTAAAAAAAAAAAAAAGACAAAAGCAGCTCAGCTTCCATCAGAACAGAAGGGGAACCCAGTAGCTTGGGAATATTTACCTACCAGCCATCAGGAGGCTGCGCAGAGCCTGTGCCTAGGAGCTAAGTAAGGCTCCTGTGGGGGGTGGATTAGTTTGAAAGGTCGAATTCTACAGAAGGTTTACAGTCATTAACATTGAGAAGCACTGAATCCTAGGTATACAAAGAGGGTCATACTCTTTCCAACATCGGTCTCAGGCTTTTTTATTCCTCTGAGCATGCCTTGGAAACTTAGGCCCTTTTCTTCACTTACATGAATTTAAGGCAGACAAATCTCAGTCTCCAGTAGTTTACCAGAGAGAGAGAGAGAGAGCACCACTGCATAGCCAGTAAAGGGAACTCAACACCTCAGATCCCCAGTTTGGGAGAAGGTGAAGCATGAGGGCTGGTATTTAGTTTGATGTTCATGCTAATAAAAACCAACAAGCATGGAGTAATTTCAAGTTCTGTATGCTTGGTTTTAAAAGCCTTTTTTTTTTTTTAAGAGAGTGATCTCTATTATGCTTTGCAAAGGGTGATAAAGCTGACTGGTCTCTGAGAACACCCCCAGGCACAGGAAAGGTGATTTGAAATAGGCAGGTCAACTAAGAAAGGATGATCTTGGATTAACCATTCACTTCAGATAATCCAAAAAAACAAATAATGCTTCAATAATGGGTTGGTGTGGGACAAGGTCATGGTACACAGGAAGCCCATCAGCAGAGAGCTATATATGAGAAAGTCATCAAGGTGAGAGTCACATGAAACAAGTGCTTTCCCCGAGGGCCCTCTAGTAAGGAGACAGAACCTGGAATAGAGATTTTTGGTGTGTCTTACTTAAAGGTCTGGGATACTCAGATGAGTTATTTGCCTATATGTGCTGGGAATGGGATAGAGGGACAGTGTGGTTATAACCAAGGTGAAATTGGCTCTGGATCTGTACAGATGTTGACTAAATGTGTTTAGAGGAGTTAAGTCATTAGGGGTGGTTGTATCTTTTTCTCTGGAGAAGATCCCAGGGTCTAACCCACAGCTTGTAAACTGAATTCACTTACAGCTGTCAGTTGACTAGCAACTAAATGGTCTGGGTGTTGGTTGCCATGGAGATAGCTGAAAGGTCCATTGCTATGGGAACCTACTATGTTCTCCAGACCAGGGATTTGGTTGCTAAAAAACAGTAGGGACAGGGGGAGCCCAGGAGCTGGGCTGCATAGGTGGCAAGGTCCCAGAAGAGAGTGATTAATGTGCATGAGTGGGCCTGGCCAGCTCCATGAGTATCTTCTTCCACTTTCTGCAGGCATTTTCCACCTGTCTGCTCATTGCTCCAAGGTGGTCACCAAGGACAGATGCTTGTTGTTCCAAATGGACAGTAAGAGTATGAGATTGTGGAGCACATTTAGCATGTCAGCACTGCTACCCTCCTCTGCAGGGCCTCCGAGAGGGAAAGTCTTGGCTCTGTTTGGAAGGCCCCTGTCCATAAATCATGTGTCCTGGATAAGCAGCCAACAGGTGAAAGAATCAGCTTCGCTCTGACTGCCAGCTGGTCAGGACAATAAGGAACTTGGCAGAGAAAACAATGGTTCCTGGCCTTGAACATGGCAGAGATGCTGGGTGTACAAGATCAGAAAGCAGAAGGGCAGACCAGCAGCAGCAGCAGTCTCTTCTCAGCATTAGAGGAATAGACTACTCTGCTCTTACACCCCCACCCACCCTCATCCTCTGCCGCAAAAGGGGGCATTGTAGGTGGATCAAAATATGAAAACCTAGAGTTGAGATCTCAATGTACATATACAATGGTTGTGAGATATTCTGGGTGGTTTTTTTTTTTTGGTACTGGGGTTTGAACTCAAGGCCTACACCTTGAGCCACTCATGAGTTATTTGCCCAGGCTGGCTTTGAACTATGTTCCTCCTGATCTCTGCCTCCTGAGTAGCTAGGTGGCATGAGCCACTAGTGCTGACAGCTGTGAGATTCTTTTCTGTGTTTTGCAATCAAGGGAAATAACTGAAATCAGCATTTAGTGGTGAGACCATCCTTAACTGAAACAAAGAGACACCATCCTAGTGGCTCTGCTATTAACTACTGTTAAGGTGTAATTTGTACATTAAAGGGACTGGGCTAGGTGGTTTCCAAAGCCTCTGTCAGGACTAACTGCTTATGATCCACTTAATACATGAAGGGAAGTTTGCAAACCTCAGGCAGGCAGACCTGTGAGGGAAGGAAAATCCATGCATGTCCAGAGGGGCTTAGGACCAAGACTAAGGCCAACATATTTGATTGAGAGACTATCTCCAGTTTGGCTCAGGAAACTTCTGCCTAATTCTCTGGAAGTCTGGCCTTCTCCTGCCTGGAGGTTGTTGGCCTCAGCCCCTCCCAAGGTGCTTTACAGCCTAGGAACTGGCACCAGAGAGACAGAAGCCATCAGAATTTGGCCTGCTCCATAGGACCAGTGAGCATTTCCCCAGAATCTATGGGAAGGGTTTCACTTCGGAAAGCAGCAGTTATTTATAGATTTAATTTTAGTTGCTATTATATCTCACCTCCAACTTTTTCCAGCTGATTGACTTTGAATAAGTTGCTTAACCTCTTAAGGTCTCAATTTCCTCAGCTGTAAAACAGGCTGATAAGAACACCCACTGAGGTGGGGGTGAGGAGATAGTTCTAATGACAACATGAAGTAGTAAGTACCCTGAGAAAGGTCGTTAGTATTATTATTATCCTAGATAAGAAAGGACAGTTGCAGCCATGGAAACTGCTCAGTGGCCAAGAATCATAGGCATTTGCCTTCCAGATTTAATTCCAGGCACCATTCAAGACTGATGGCCTTCCTGATGCCCCACTCTGCTTTGCCTTCATTAAATCAAAGCCTAATCCCGTCTTTATGACACTTAACCACATTCTTTTTCAGTGTTTGTATGCCAACTTACCTTCCTACTAGACTGTAAACAGCTTGAGAATAGACTATCCTTTCATCTTTGAGTAAGTGCCTAGAACTTCAGCTGTAAGCAATTATTTAATGAATTTCTTTCCTTTTTTTTGTAGCCCAGGCTGGCCTTGATTTTGCAATCCTCCCACTTCAGCCTGTTGAGTGCTTGGATTACAGGTGTATGCCTGAATTTCATTAATAGGGGGAAAAGGCCACTTTTCCTTGGGTTTTGAATCTAATCATTTAACCCTGGAGCAGCTTTGCTCCAAAGGGCAGAGAAAAGTAGCAGTTGGTTTGAGCAGCTCTATAGCAGGACCAAGGCTCACATCTTCTAGAAACCAGCTGTTATCTGAGTCTAGGACTCATTGACAATACTAGCTCATCTTCAGCCTGCAGGCTCTGGGTCCCCCTCCTCTCCTGGCTGTTGTCTGTCTGCCATTCAGCAAGCCTTTCCCTCTCTTTTGCTTCTGCCTGGGTCACCAGCATTGACTCCTGGCTCCACAGATGCAAGTTGTATCACATTCCCAACTCTTTTTCCCTCTGGTACACTGAACATCTGCAGCCCCTGGTTGAG